GCGGCAACTGTGTGATGCCATCATGTCAATATGGACCAAACTCCCTGAGGAATGCTTCCAGCACCTTGTTGAATCTATGCCACGAAGAACTGAGGCCGTTCTGAAGGCAAAAGGGCGTCCAACCCGTTACTAGCATGGGGTACCTAATAAAGTGGCCGGTGAGTGTAGAGCCTATCAGTGCACTAACACCAAACACACATTTCCACTGTCTATCATTTTGTATTCTTTGCTGTTTAAGCCCCATATCCAGCACATAAGGTCTATTCAATCTTATGTACACAAACCTCACCTAAAGCTTTCCCTTTGTTTGAAAAAGTGCTCTACTCTCCATTTGTAACTGCTGGCTTGCCAAACAAAAATACACACTGAACCATGGGACTTTTCAGAGGGAAAAATTTAGGCCTATTTACTTTGCTGTACATGAAACATTTGTGATGATTTTGTATTCCACCTTTGACATGCTTAAAGCTGGATCTGTATATGTTATTATGTAATTGTAGACAGATTGAAGGGCTATCTAATTAAGTGTAGTTTTTTTTTTTGTGAGTTTACTGTTTAGTAGTTGACTAGATGCTTTCTAGTATGTTGCAAATGTTAATGTTGTGCAATGTTTAGAATTTGCAAACTGAGTAAAGCACTGTTCATAAAGGTACATTGCTAGCATTTCTTCGCATTCAGAGAGACAAAGTCAGTGAATATAGTTAATAACTTGTAATTGTTACAGTTGCCTGACTTGTCGTTTTACCGAGGGGCTGCATTGGGGTTTCCCCTCCCTTTTACAGCTCAGTTTTGTTTGTAGGCAGCTCACATTTTGATCACACACCTGGTAGAGCAGATGCCAGTGAATGTGGACAGAGAGCAAGATGAATATGAATGTGCTTTATGGATTGAATCATTTAGAAAAGAAGGAGGAATGATCCAAGTATTATCATTTAATTAGATTTGTATTAGGTTAAATAGAAAATAAAAGCACTAAAAATTTTATATTACTATGAAAATAAACATCCCTAAAAATGGGGTGAATTCGCCATGGCTGCACCCCATCATATAGGAGATAATGTTACAGAGGGACATTTCTCCTCCTTTCTTATACCCTATTCAAAAGGGTTTGGTTGTTGAACTATTTTCGATATTTATGCTGTTATAACTTTAGGCTACTGGAGGACATGGGGACAACTTTTCATTATTCTGCTTTATTTGATCTCAGTTCTACCATTCTCCAATATTTGTTAGTTCAGCCCGTAATTTTATGGTCTCCCTGATTTTTTCTTGTCATAGCAGCTTCCTCTGCTCTGTTCCCATTTTTCTTTGACTCCATCCTAGAGAGAAATACCCGTTGGGCTGCTGCCATTAACACATTTGTTTTTAGATCCTGGAGTTAGCCATGTTTTTCATCGTAGTCCTGGATCTCGCCTTGCTATAGCTACAGGCGCAGCTTTTAGTCTGACAAACTGCATGTGCTCTCTTTGCTCTAGACAGCAAAAGTGGCATAGAGCTAATCTGTTTAACTATCTCTTTCCTAGACAGAGCCACCGAATCAGAATCAGACATACTTTAATAATCCCAGAGGGAAATAAAGGTTCAGTACAAGATAATTTACTGTTATCTTGAATTGATCTGCTTATTTTTGCATGTCTGCTTCTGTCCTCTTGAACTCCCAGCTGGCAGCAGAAGGCCACTCACACTGAGCCTGGTTCTGCTGGAGGTTTATTCCTGTTTAAATGGATTTTTTTTTCCACTCCACATTTGCTGCATGCATGCTCGATGTAAGGGATTGCTTAAGAATCAACAACAAAATGCAAGTGAATGTTTTTGCTGCAAGCTCACCTTGCAAGTCAATGACTCGATGCCATCAAATGGTTTTCCTTGATAGAAAGTTTTAAACAAACTGGCTGTGTAATCTGATAGTCTCTATAAGGTGCCTTCCGATGTTATAGATTGGCGCTATATAGATGAAGAGCATTGAAGTAAATTGGATTGAATAATAACATGGTCACATACTGAAGTGCAACACCAGGCAGCTTTTTCTGTTGAAAACAGTTCAGGTTTAGAAAAACTGTTTACCATTTTAAAACCTTTGAAATTGTTATTTTAAAGCAATACGTAATTTTTCATATCTGGAACTTGCACATATTGCAATAAAATGCAATTTTTTTTTTTTTTTGCAATAAGTTCAGTTTTTCCTGTTTTTCCCAGCTTTTGCCCAGCTGCCTTTTTTTACTATTTTTCTCATAATGTGTCACAAATATGAAACAGTTTCAAAATATTTAATACTCTGGTTGGTATTTTTGCAAAACAACATAATCTGCAAAAAATTAACATATCTGAATGAAATCTGTTATTGTGTTTTCTACTCCTCAGCCTTTTCCCATATCAGAGGCTAGCTGTTTTTAAAGGCACAGGATGAAAAGATGGCACAACACCTTGATGCACCAGGCGCTGCTAGCTTTCATCCCTTTACCCGTGAGTCACTAAAAAACATTGAGAAAAGGATCGCTGAGGAGAAAGCCAAGAAACCCAACAATGAAGAAAAAAAACAAAAAGACAGGAATGAGCTCAAACCAAGCCGTGATCTGGAGGCAGGAAAGACTCTGCCACTTTATTATGACATTCCTTCAGGGCTGATGTTGACGGCACTGGAGGACTTGGATCCCTACTACTCTAATCAGAAAGTAGGTTTCGTTGATTTTAGACTTGAGGTCTTTCAGAAATGTAGACACTAATCTTTAAATTTTGTTTCCAAATAAATCTTTGTATTCAAACTTAATTAAAAAGATTTCTGTCTTAATAGTGACTGTCTTAAAATGAAATATATATAGAAATTCTAGCTACTATCTTCAAAATGATGGATACTAATTTGAAATGCTAAAGTAAGGCCATGTCTTTTTAATCTGAAATTAACATCAGATAGAGATTCTTATAAAATGTACTTTAAGGGAACAATTCACATTTACGGTGACGGGATACTTTTTGTAAACTAAGAGGTTCTAATTTTTCCAGATAGTAATGTATGACTAAAAATGTTCTCTTTTTTGCAGACTTTTATGGTAGTAAACAACAAGAAGCTCATTTATCGATTCAATGCTGCCTCTGCCTTTTACATTCTGAGCCCCTTCAATCTCATCAGAAGGCTGTCATTCAAAATTCTGGTGCACTCATATCCTTTTGGTAATATGTGAAAAATGCTGTGAGTAATGAAACACTTAACCTGATTTTCAAAGAGCATCACAGTTGGGGAAATATACTCGAATAAATAGAAATAAATAGATTATTTAATTCTTTGAAAGTTTTAATTAAATATGTAACATATTAAATAACTTTTTATAAGCTTGTGAAAAAAGTACAAAATTAGTGTGAAGAAATTTTTTTTTTCTATTATAAAAAGTAGCCAATCATAGGCAGTTTACTTTCTTAGGTGGCTTTCACCCTGAAAGTGACGAAAGTAGATATGAGCACAGAGAAACAGCATCTAGGAGAGAATAAACATGAAAAGCAAGCTATGTGCACAGAGAAAGAGCCTACGCTTATGCCTGTGGTGTATTGGCAGGCTCATGGTATTAAATCTACATGCTTAGAAGGTTAAAAATGCAAGTGGAGAGTAGTTTAATGCATGTGTTTTAAATAAAACATATCAGTGATTATTATGTGTGTGCACATTTGGGAGACTTCTGACTGCATAAGCTTTTGCTTTATACACCTGCGGAAATGAATTGGATCAAGGCAGCCATTAGAGGCAACCAGACTTTCACTTAGTTTTCCTGAATATGGTTTGACACCTATCCAGAGGTTTCTGTCAATATTGTCTGCCTCCATTTGAGTGATCTAGTGATTTAAAACATCAGCATTTCAACTACAGATTGCTCTGTGCAAGACGACAGATTTGACATCCTTGAACTGGGGTCTGTGCTGGAGGTAAGGGAGGATGACGAATAGTCCTTCCAGGGCTAAATTAAAATGGCTTTTTTAAAGCCACCTAAAAACCTTTACAGAGCATTCTTATTTCTACCTTTGTTAAGAATGTTTTCTCTATACTCCATTTTAACTCAGAAGAGCTTCACCTCAGTTGCTATTCTGTAACGCACGCCACAACTACAACCAGTCCATGTCTGGTTGCTACAACACAATTTCATAAAAATGTTTAGGTTTTTCATTTTCAGCGATCAGTGATCGCTCTCCTCATTTGGTATCACTGTTTAACAACACCTTAGTTCCATTAATTTGCTCAAGGTGAGAGCGGAACATTGAACAGCGCAGCATTCACCATTGGTCAATGCCCTGCGCAGTTTGAATTGCAATTCTATGTAAATCCACTGCCCTCGCCACAGACACCGTGCTTGGTCTGATTGCACCTTAAGAGCTTGTAGCTTTTCAGCAGTGTGTATGTGACCATTTAATGGTTCGTATAACAGCTTGAATTTGAGAAATCTGTGTGGAAGCATATTCTGAATAATGATGCTTAAGCGAAACTTCAATCTGGAAGACTCTTATCAGCTTCATCTGAACCACCTGCGATGTCCCTTGTTTAGCTCCAGCAGATCAACTCGGGGGCCACACCTTCTTCGAAGAAAATCCCCTTGCAAGATTCCCTTCATGTATCTCCTGGCCCAGCTTCACTCTAATGCACTCAAGCAAAATTTCACCCACCTCCACCTTATCTCTTCCCTCACTCTCAGACTATTTTTAGTAGTCCTCACCTGCTGTCTTATTCTACCATCAGTGTCAGGCCCCAGGGGGAACACTACTCTAATCCTTTTCTTGGTTACTCATCCAAACGAATGTTTAGTCATAGCATCAAATTCTTATGCTGGGGCCAAGCACCAAATAACTTATTTCATTTATGTCATTATCTCCTCCCATCTCCTTGAACCCCAGTAAACCTCGGCAGATAGCCGCCCACACTAAGCCTGGTTCTACTGGGGGTTTCTTCCTGCTTAAAGGGAGTTTTTCTCTCCACTGTCACTACATGCATGGTCAGCATGAGGAATTGCAGAGAGTCAATGAGTCATGAACATTTTGAATAATTCGGCTATGTTACCTGTATAAATAAAATTAATTACACCTTTTCTCTGTGTGAGTCTTTCCAGGTTGAAATGTTCCTTACAGCCCTCAATATTTTTGTAGGAAAACCAATAATCAACACATTAAGAGCTAAGTGAAGTCTAGCCTTGACCCTAAGTGTTCCTTGCAGTTCTAAAATTCAAGTCAGTTTGTCTGACTTAATTTCTATAGACATCTATTGAACTCCCATATGAAGCTCAATATGAACATTTGAAGGAAAATTCATGTAACATTGAAAAACATATTACTTCTTTAACATAATTATGAGATTCCTTGACTTTTGCCTGTAAGTTGTTTAGCATGCTGATCATGTGCACTATCCTCATCAATTGTGCATTCATGACTATGAATAACCAACAGGAGACAAAGTCAGTTGAGTAAGTTTTCTATTAATTGATAAAATCCTTCACATATGATTGGTCATTGATTTTTGTTCCCATTTTACTGTGATATTGAAAGCTTTCTTTTTCCAATAGGTACACATTTACTGCAATCTACACCTTTGAATTTGTAGTTAAGGTTTTGGCAAGAGGATTCTGTATAGGGAAGTTCACATTTTTAAGAGATCTGTGGAACTGGCTGGACTTCTGTGTCATTGTTTTGGCGTAAGTACTATATTTTTTTAACTAATTCAACGGGAAGTATTTAAAAATAGGTTGTGTTTGTTATTTGAAGATCTTTAGTTAAGACAGTGCTTTGTTGCGTTTTTTTTTTTTTTTTTTTGCCTGCTGCTGACAAATTACAATAATAAAATGTGAAGTTTTTAAAAAAATTTTATCAGTTTAGGATAAAAAAAAATAACACCTAAAATTTTGTAAATATTGCAAAAAAGTTTTGCCATTTGAAAAAAGTTTCCCTCTTAATTACTACTTTTTTCCCCTTGTTTCCATTTTTTCCCCAGGTATGTAACTGAGTTTGCGGACATTGGAAATCTTTCAGTTCTTCGAACATTCAGGGTGCTGAGAACATTAAAAGCAATTTCCGTAATCCCAGGTAAAGAGCAGAAGAAAGTAGCCCTTCAATATTTTACATCAATGGAAAATGGAGTCAATGGAATTTTTTGTAGAAACTTCAGTTGTTGTATTGTATCATATATTAGTCCTATATTAGAATTACATAATGATCTGAAACAAGTTAAAAATAGTAGAAGTTTGTGAAGATATAAAAACTTGAATGGGTCTATAGTCCCCGGTTGTATATCATAAAAACAGGAATAGAGATTTAAAACATAGGAAAAATAAGGGGAAGCAAAATTGAAACATGTCTATATGACGGGGATGATACTTGTTACTTGTTAATCTAAGTTAACAAGCTATGATAATATATACTATGTTCTACAAAAAAACCTGACATGATTCTTTATTTTCTTTTGCAGGTCTAAAAACAATTGTTGGTGCATTATTCCAGTCTGTAAAGAAACTTGCTGATGTTATGATCCTGACAGTTTTCTGCTTGAGTGTATTTGCACTTGTTGGATTACAGCTGTTTATGGGAAACTTGAGGAATAAATGCATATTAATCCCAGATGATTCTATCAAAAATAATGAGACACTATGGGAAGCATATCTACAAAACAAAAGTTAGTGTATGGTTTTCTCTTTCTGTGTTACTGAAAGATAAATATATTTTGAATGTGACTTTTGAGGAAAAATCTAGAATAGAGATGACATGGAAATACTGTATGATTCAACACTTTTTAATTGTCAAAAGTATTTACTTACCTACCTTGTCTCACATATGAGCTCAAGTGACATCCTATTATTCCATAGTGGTTTGATATGACATCAGTCCACCCTTTGCAGCTAGAACAGCTTAAACTGCTCTGGGAAGCCTGTAAAAAAGATTTAGGGGTGCAGTTGTGAGGTCAAACACTGATGTTGGACATGAAGACCTGGTCCTCAGTTGCCGCTCCAATTCATTACACAGGTGTTCTATTTGGTTTAGGTCAGCAATCTGCGCAGGCCAGTGAAATTCATCGACACCAGTCTCTGCCATCCATGCCTTTATTGACTTTTCTCTTTTCATTGGTGCACAGTCGTGTTGGAAGAGGAGGGTGGTAGCTCAACTATTTTCCCACAAAGCATGGATTTGCCCAAGATATCTTGCTATTCTGAAGCATTCAGAGTTTCTTTCACTGGAATGAAATGGCCAAGCCCAGCTCCTGAAAAAGAACCCCAGACAATAATTCCCCCTCTACAAAACTATTGACTTGGCACAATGCAGTCAGACAAGTACCATTCTCCTGATAACATCTAACATCTGCCTTTTCACAGGATGCACAGCTTTGACTGGTAACTAGGTGAGAGTAACCCGAAACTTATCGGGCTGATCCAATCAGCTCTCTGACAATAAGTCGCCTGGAACGCTCACTGAACAGAGCATCTTTGGACAGATACGCTGCACAGGTTTCACCAGCAACCTCCTCCACACACCCTGCTCTCTCTTGTTGTCTGCGCAATCTCAGTAGTTCTAATCCGCACATGATGCACGGATTATTGTACTGCCTGCACGCTCTAACTCACATTAAAAAACACCACCTGGCATTGTCTAAAATCCGGGATAATTTATCCAACTCGCGGGCATCCGTGAACAACTAACTATATCAGGGAGACCCCCGGAACTTCCAGGAGACTTGGGATGTCTGATATTTGCTATTATTTTATGTTTCATTGGCGTTCTAAAGTAGCCAAAAGTAGAAAACAATTATTCTCAGTCTTGAAGAAAAGTACTTTGCTGCGCCTTGACGCGCCTCAACCATTGACTTTGCATGTAAACTTGCTGCTCCTGCTGCGGTCGGTGTGAACGCAGCTTAAGACAGACTGAGCTCTGCCATTTAACAAGGTGACAAAAAAGTCTCAGTGCTTCTTCTTATTCTTTTTATTAAGGTCTGAGGGCAGTGGAGGAAAAATGGAACATCTAAAAAAATTACTTGCGTAGAGATTTTAGACGCAGTAAACAACATTTATTCTACATGAAAAAAACAAACAGGTGTTAAAAGAAACATAGCTTAAAATGTCTAACTGACTTATCTAAAAGAGGCTAACTTATTAGTTAATGAGCACAGCTTGCCACAGCATTACCCAGCTCTACCTCTTTATATCATGATCTTACAGTAACTTTTTTTTTGGTTTTGTTATCAATCTTAATCGGTCATTGGTCACGAAAGCATAACAGATGCTCATCGGCAACCACAATGTTTTATGTCATGTGGCAACCTTCGGCCAATCATATACAGTAGCATAACGTCACTGCCATGCGCAGGGCCCGAGCATATCTGACCAGGTGAGCAGATCTGGTACCGACAGCAGCACACTTTAAATGGCTGCATTCGAAGCTTAGCATTGCACCTGGCGATGCATGGCTTGGATGGAGCTGCTCAATCATGGGAATCCATTCCATGAAGCTCTCTATGCAGTGTTCCTGAGATAATCTGAAGGCCACATGAAGTTTGAAGGTGTGCAATGCTTCCCTCTGCAAAACGTTATTACTTCTTTGTACTGTGCACTTTAGCATCAGCTGATCGAGCTCCACCAGTTTATGTGGTGTACCTCTTTGTTGCTGAGTTGCTTTCGTTCCCAAACAATTTATTCTAATGATACAACTGACAGTTGACAGTGAACAATTAAGAGGAGCGAGAAAATTTAACTACAGGATTTGTTGCACAGGTGGCTTCCAATCACACTGGACTTCACTGAGCTCCTTTGAGTGACCCATTCTTTCACAATTGTTTGTAAAAAAAAAAATTAACATGCCTAGGTGCTTGATTTTATACACCTGTTGTGATGAAAGTGATTAGACCATCTGGTTCCAATAATCTGGATGGGTGAGAAAATACTTTTGGCAAGATAGTACATATATCTATATATATCTGTATCATATAAGATATAATTTTTATATGTTCTATATTTAAATCACGTACTCAACATCGTAATAGCAATAAAGGCAAATACATTAAGTTGCACTTAATATATAGTTGTTACTTCATATAAGATATTTGTTCCTCAGATACATTATATTCACAAACACCTCACTTTAACTGTTTTTTGTTTGTTTGTTTGTTTTTTTTGCAATTATTTTTTATCAGGTAATTATTACACTCCTGCTGGGAAAAAAGAGACATTACTCTGTGGAAACAGTACTTTGGCTGGGTAAGAATATTAGTGTTCAACTACAAGAAAGCTAACTTGTTTATATAATCAAAGTTCCAGCTTGGTATGATATTTTGTCCACACTGTTGATAAATAGGAAAAAAGCAATCCGCAAATTCTTCACTTAACATGCTTTTCCCTGTGCTGCAGGCAGTGTCCAGAGGGGTATATGTGTAAAAAAGCTGGAGACAACCCAGACTATGGTTATACAAGCTTTGACAACTTTGGTTGGGCCTTCCTTTCTCTGTTCAGACTAATGACACAGGATTCCTGGGAGCGCCTTTATCAGCAGGTAAGTATTGCAAAATGGAAACTAACAGAACATAAAATAAAATGTTCTGGTAAAGTCTTATGTTAAACAATGTTAACATTGTTTACATTATTTCGTGTAAATAATTTATTTTATTTTATTTTGACAGGTGTACATTTTTAAAATTTTTTTTTACATTTTTATATTTGATATACTCTTATAAATTGACATTGTGGAATGTAATCAAATTATAATTTTACAGTTATCCACTTAGTCCTTAAATTCTCTCATCAATCCATTTTCTGTCACGCTTTTCCCGTCTGGGGTCACGGGGGGTGCTGGTGCCTATCTCCAGCTTTTAATGGGCGAGAGGCGGGGTAACTTAAATTCTACCAATCATTTGATTTTGTTTGCTTCTTTATGCTGCTGTT